CTACTGTCCTTGTTTATCTTGTACTTCAAGTTGCCAAACTTAAACTCGAAGTAAAAGGATCCAATTAAAATGACCATACCTGGTTATGCTGTATACCCAATTCTCCCTTTCCATCTCTAGCCTGTCTTTGCATTAAAGGCAAATTCTGTGCATGTAGAGTGAAAACACGAAAGAATTAAAAAATAAATAAGCAATTTTGTTTTTGTTTTGTCTCTCCAACTTGGTGTTAAAATTTTCATGCAGTTTTATTTCCAATGACTGAATTTCTACAACTCGTTATTATTACACACATTCATAAGAATTCTACAGAACTTACCATTCTTGATGGTTTCAAAAGTAATTTCTCACAGTGCTTCTTAGAAAGCCTGAGTCTGCTAGCAAAAGAAATAAAAAAGAATTAAGTTCTGCTTATCTTTGCTGAATATTTACAAGGAAAAGAGTAAAGCATTCCCATACAAATCCGTTTACAGACATGGTGAGCAGGCCCCTACTCGATTCCCGCCACCGAATCTACCTCCACTCGGTCACTCTTCTTCAAGAACGTGCTTGAAAGTTTTCTTAAAACTCAGGCAAACTCCCGCCTAACGATGAATGCTTTCTTTCACTCAACATCTGCATGGCTAATTCCTTCACCTTTAAGTCTCTGCTCAAATGTCATTGATCTGAAGATCCGATTTAACATTCGTCTAACCCTCGTACATATTTCATTTTCCATTAACACTTATCACTAACATACTATATACTTTCATTACTTATTATGTCTATGAACAACACTCCAATTCCTAATGTTCACGAGGACGTATCACAAGAACTAAAATAGTGCCCAGTATACTGTAGAACAGCTGCTCCTCGGAAACCCTACTCAGGGCACTTAACAATATTCTAGTCCTCTGGTAGCGTAGTGGTTACGAATCGGGCTGCGAACCTTAAGGTCTGCGGTTCGAAACTACCAGCTGCTCTGCGGGAGAAAGATGAGGCTTTCTACTCCCGTAAGGATTTACACCCTCGGAAACCCTATACAGGGTCGCTATGGGTCGGAACCGACTCAACGGCACTTAACAACAACAACAAGTCCTAGTGTGGCGCTGTAGCATAAGCACTCGACCACAAGGTCAGTTAGACCCACAGATGGGCTGTTCAAACTCACCAGCCGCTCCTTGGAAACCCTATACAGGGTTGATATGAGTCGGAATCGACTCGACGGTACTTAACAATAGCAACATACTGTAGTCATTGTCTAACGTTGTAGAATAAGCACTGGACTACTAACCATGAGATCCGTGGTTCAAACCCACCAGATGCTCCTTGGGAACCCTATATATGGTCATATGAGTCGGACCGACTCGGTAACACTGAACTGTACTGTAGTAAAACTACCGTAGTTAGTGCTCAAACTACAGTAACACTGTAGTAACAAAATACCGTAGTTAGTCCTCACCTTAAATAAGCGAATGAAAGAATTAATGATGTTGTCTGTACTTACCTCACCAATTCAATTATGCACAGCTGTTGCATAAAACAGAAAAGAAGCGGTGATACCGGTGATACCTGTACAGATACACGCCACTGAAAGCGTTCACTGGACCATCGGAAGTTAAGCGCGAGCCTAATAAGAAAGGACGCGCCTTTCCTCAATTCCCGCCCCAGTCGTCCGCCCACTTGGCTCGAACCAAATCGGCTAGATCTGTGGGGACCATAGAATACAACTGACCGTGAAAGAGCGCTTCATTAATAATTACACTAAGAGAAGACGCATAACACGGAACTATTTTGGGCCACCTCCAGAAGTGGTCTCAGCTGTAAAACGGAACGGACCACTTCCGCCCTGTTCTTTTCCTGGCCCTACTTCCACAACACTGGGCGCTCCCGCGCAGTCACGGAAATGACCTTTGAGGGGGCGTTCCCAGGGCCGGTGAGTAGTAGAACTCGTATTTGAAACCCCTGTGGAACTTTGAGGCGGTCCAGGTAGTCCTCGTGAAGTTGATTGCGTTCATAGCGACCCTAAAGGACAGAGCAGACTCTACGGTTTGTAGGGCTGCAAACTTTACAAAAGCAGATTGCCACATTTTTCTCCTGCAGAGTGGCTGGAGCAGCTGGTGGGTTCAATAGCCAATCTTTTAGTAAGCAGCCAAGCGCTTAACCATTGGGCGCTCAGGTTAAGCTATGGTTGGGCCACCAGGGCTCCTTCTAGTCATAGACTATGACTGTTTGAATGTAGGGAAAGGAAGTGGATGCTGACGTTGGAGTAGAGAACACTCCTGCCAGAGCATACATGGGTTCTGACTCCGGGATTTACTGGCTGTACTACCAGGCGCTCTTTGTTGTGTCCGTTGTGTCTGTAGCGACCCAGTATAGGGGTTCCAAGGAGCGACTGATGAGTTTGAACCACCGACTCTGTGGTTCAAACCGACTTTGCAGTCCTGTCCTTATCCTATTGCGCCACTCGTCCTTTTTGTTATTAAACGCCATTGAGTCGATTCTGACTCATAGCAACCCTGTATACGGTTTCTTAAAAGCGGCTGGTGAGTTTGAACCGCCGACCTTGCAGCTCAAACTGACTTTGAGGTCAAATGCTTGTCCTACAGCGTCACACTATGACTTTGTTGTTGTTAAGTGTTGTTGAGTCTACTCCGACTCAGCGAACCTGTATGGGGTTTCCAAGGAACAGCTAGTGAGTTTGAATTGCCGACTTTGTGGTTCAAACCAACCTTGAGGTCCAATGATTTATCCCAGAGCACCACACCAGAACTCCAGAACTGCATTTTCGTGTTCTGGAAAAGCCGCTGCAGCGGGAATGAAATGAAGGGTACATGAGGTAACTTGAGAGGGGGATGTTTGCCGGTAATGCGCTGGGCTGCAAAGTTGGTTTGAACCACAAGGTCTGCGATTCAAACTCATCAGCTGCTCCTTGGAAACCCTGTATAGGATCGCTTTGGGTGGGAACCGACTGGATGACGCTTAACAACAACATAGCAATCACAGTGATTACTCTAAGTCTGTCATTGTTATTGGCACTTTTACTTTTCTAGTGAATCCTATGAGCTGGGCACTAGTATTTACATTTAAAATTTTTTTTTCCCATGAAACTGCAAGGGGAAAGTGATTTATCGTAGTTTGTCGTAATTGCTGTTTGAAGCCACATAAACTGTTTGAAGTTTCCTAATCTATGAAATTGAAATGTTCCATAATGTTTCCAAGGTCTCTTTCAAATACAACAGTGAATAACTAAAAAACTGACCTGGTATCCCACTGGGACTTCACTTTACCAAAAGTCTATGAATATAAGGCGCTCTAGTAGCATAGTGGTTACAAATCGGGCTGCGAACCGCAAGGTCAACAGTTTAAAACTACCAGCTGTAATGCGGGAGAAAGATGAGGCTTTCTGCGCCTGTAAAGATGTACAGCCTCGGAAACCCTGTACAGGGTCGCTGTGAGTCGGAATCGACTCGACAGCACTTAACAACAACAATATATATTATGGCACTGTAAGATAAGCACTGGACTGCTAACTATAAGGTTGGTGGTTCAAACCCACCAGCCACTCCATGGCACTTAACACATATATATAAATATGTGTAGGTATGGCGCTGTGGGTTAATGTGCCAGACTGCAAAACCGTTTGCACTGCAAGGTTGGCGGTTCAAGCTCACCAACTGCTCCTTGGAAACCCTATACAGGGTCGCTATGGGTTGGAACCAACTCAACGGCACTTCACAACAACAGCATATATATCGGTAAGTGCCCTTGAATCGACTCTGACTCATAGCAACCCTGTATAGGGTTGCTTAGGAGCAACTGGTAGATTTGAACCATGTATCTTGTTAGCAGTCCAGTGCTTATCCTATAACTCCACACCAGCATTTCATATATATATATATATTTGTTGTTGTTAAGTGCAATTGAGTCGATTCTGACCCATAGCGACCCTGTATAGGGTTTCCGAGGAGTTGCTGATGAGCTTGAACCGCCGACCTTGCAGTTCAAACGGCTTCACAGTCTGACACATTAACCACAGTGCCACACTATATGTGAATTATATGTATAATATAAAACACTTTTGCCAATATGTACTACCGTAACTCCAAATTCTGTAAGGAAGAAGTCTGTGCCAGTCTATGAGTAAACATTTAGTACCTGCCTAAATGTGGTTACGAATCGGGCTGCGAACCTTAAGGTCAGCGGTTCGAAACTACCAGCCGATCCGCGGGAGAAAGATGAGGCTTTCTACTCCCGTAAAGATTTACACCCTTGGAAACCCTGTACAGGGTCGCTATGGGTCGAAACTGACTCGACGGCACTTAACAACAACAACAAAATAATACTGGTGTGACACTGTGGTTAATGCACCAGACTGCAAAGCCATTTGAACTGCAAGATCGGTGGTTCGAGCTCACTTGCTACTCCTCGGAAACCCTATACAGGGTTGCTATGGGTTGGAACTGACTCGACAGCACTTTACAACAACAAATGTTATACTGAGATTTACAAGAAATAATTCTTTGTTCTCAGGTAGCTTTAGTATATTGGGGGAGAAGACAGGAATATAACATAAGAGTATAAAAGACAGCCATTGAAAAGTAAGATTTGTCAGGAAAAGCTTTATAAAGTAAGTTAAAGTGGACTTGAAGGAAAATATATAGAGAAGGGCAGAGGGTGTTTGAGGGCAGCGTTGAGGAGAACAAGAGCAAAGATGGTGTGGTGCACATTTGTGTTTAATATACCAGGTTTGTGCTTGGTGACTTTACATATATTAATTCATTTGGTTCTCTGGTGGCCTGTGAAGTAGATTTTAGTATCTCCATTTTGCAGATGAGAAAACAAGCTCAGAGAAGTTAAATCACTTGCCAAAGAGTCCATGTGCTGGTAAGTGGCAGAGCCAGTATATGAACCCAGGTCTGTCTACAACTCTTTTGTTCATATGTTTTGCTGCCTCAAAGGCCTAGGTCTAATGTGTACATGTGTGTCATTTTCTGTTTTTGTCATGTCAGATACTCATCTTTACCTGATTTCTGTATGTTATCATCTGGTATATGTCTGGTCCCCAGGAAGGTCCAGCGTATCCATTCCCTGATCTGCAGTTCTTCTCGTTCCTTCATGGATTTGAAAACTCTCCTTTCCTCCTTGAATGACTTTGCATCCCTTTCATTTGCTGAGACTTGGGACAATGTTGGATTACTGGTGGAGCCTAGCCCACCGCATACTGTAAACACACTCTTCTTGACCAATGACTTGACAGAGGAAGTGATGGCGGAGGCTTTGCAAAAAAAGGCAGATCTCATTCTCTCATACCATCCGCCTATTTTCCGACCAATGAAGCGCATAACTTGGAAAACCTGGAAGGAGCGCCTGGTGATTCAAGCTCTGGAAAAACGAGTTGGTATCTACTCTCCTCACACAGCCTATGATGCTGCCCCCCAGGGAGTCAACAGCTGGTTGGCTAAAGGACTTGGTGAGAAATCTTTTATTTTTTCATGTTTCATTCATACAAACACGTTGAATTTTAAAAATGTGTTTCTATGAAACTTTTAACTTCTTTAGGGGTGGAAGGAATACTATCTTAGTTTTACATAATGCATTTCAAAAGAATGTGACTAAAAAGTAATATTGCTAAAATCTGACAACTAAATTGCATCTGAAACATGAAATGTCTTTATCTTTATTGCATAAGGAGAGCACTGGAAGTCTTTATTGCTGGATTGAGCTGCTTAATTCCCCATTCATGTGACATGATGATGGTGGTGTTTATGTTCTGTGGAGTCGGTTTCGACTCATAGTGACCCTGTACAGGGTTTCCGAAGCTATAAATCTTTACAGGAGCAGAACGCCTCATCTTTCTCCCCAGGAACCGCTGGTAGTTTCAAACTGCTAACCTTGCAGTTCACAGCCCGATTCATAACCACTACGCTACCAGAGCTCCTAGGCACTTAAAAAATGCTAGCTAAATTGAGCCAAAAGCTCAAGACTCACTAAAATATACTTCATACATTAGACAAATAGACATTAGGTTTTTTTATAATGTTTACTTGTACCCTACACAATGAGGGATCTCCTCATTTGTGTTTTACCTTTATTTTAATAAATTATTTCATTTATTCATTTTTGGTGAAAGTTTTAGGAAGATCAGGATTAATGTAGCTGATCAGATTATGAACATTTGCAAACTGAATCATGATTTACATGAGTAGATTTACCAAACAGTTAACAATTCTGTGTATCATTTAAAACTTGATAAGTCAGTCCTTCTTGTCTTGTTTTGATATTTAAGAGCATTTTAGAAATTAATTTTGAAAATAAATTTGATTAAGTGTCGTGGAGTTAGTTTCAGCTCATAGTGACCCTCTATAGCATTTTGAGGCTTTAAGTCTTTTTTGGGGGGAGCAGGAAGCCTCATTTTTCTCTCTTGGAGTAGCTGTTGGGCTTATACCACCTACCTTGTGGTTTGCAGTGCAGTGTTTAGCCTGTGGCATCACCATGCTCCATACTAAATCCCTAGAGTATGGAGATTATTGGTAGATGTGTATATTGCACAAGCAAATCTCCATACTATGGAGATTATTGGTAGATGTGTATATTACACAAGCAAATCTCCATACTATGGAGATTATTGGTAGATGTGTATATTACACAAGCAAATGACAATCTGTAAAGCAACAGCAGCAGCAACAAACATGTAATTTCCTAGAAATTTACCTGTAATAGTTTATCTTACTTTTTATCTTAAGGAAAATAAACAACAGAATTCCATTTCCCCATGTTTTTTCTTCTAGGAGCTTGTACCTCCTGTCCCATACATCCTTCCAAAGCTGCCAACTACCCCACAGAGGGAACACATCGAGTAGAATTCAGTGTTAAGCATATTGTAGACCTGGATAAGGTCATGTCTGCAGTGAATGGGATTGCAGGTGTTTCTGTCACTTCATTTTCTGCCAGGTACAATATTTGTTTCTCTTTATAAAGATCTTAACAAATTCTATAAGCCTGATAGTTAGATTTCAAACTTAATTGTTTTTCCCCAGCTTGTCTTTTGCATATAGGTTCTAACAGAGAAGTGTGGAATCTTCAAAACAATGAAAATGCCAAGTAACATGTATTGAGTACTTTCTATGTGTTAGCATTTCCCACCCTCTTAGTAATATTGGAAGGTAGTTGTTTTACTTTATACAATACAAATAAACCTTATGATATATTAAGGATTTTTAAAACTTTTTATTATTAATTGAGTGATGGTAAATAGACAAGATCATCAGCATTACTTTTAACCAATCATATGTTTTGTTTCATCTCAATGATTATCCTCCGCTCCATGTAATAACAAGGAGCTCTGGTAGCATAATGGTTAAGAGTTAGCTGCTAATCTCAAGTCAGCAGTTTCACTGGAGAAAGATGAGGCTTTCTGCTTCCGTAAAGATATACAGCCTCAGAAACCCTATGCAGGGTCACCATGAGTCAAAACTGACTCCACCACCACCACTACCCTGTAACAGCAGTTATCTGGCTTCCATGCTATGCCTTCCCTTTTACATCGTACTTTTCACAAATGAACAAAGCAAAAATATTTGATGCGCACATACAAAACAAAAATATATATTCATTTAAATGTCTAAAGGGCACATTTTGCAAGCCAGCCTCCTGCCTGCAGGCACACAGCCTTTCCCAGTCCATGAGTCTAGACTCCTCACCTGCTCTATCTCTCTGTGCCATCACCTCTGCCACGGTCTCTGTTGTCGGCACTTTTCTGAGTAGGAGCTCATGCTTTTTCCTTCTTGATGGTCCTGTGGTCCTCTGTTCTTGAAATGAAAGATGAACTCCTCCCTCCTTTTAGTTATACATCTTCTACAATTACAGTTCTGAGCATTACGGTTAATTCTGATAATAGTTACTCATAGTTGAATCATAAAATCACCATCATCCCCCACCCCTTTCACCAGATCTAGCTGGAAAAGAGGAAAACTATTCAGTGGGGATTCTACCTTACCCTCCTCATTCTAAAACTAAGCACACTCATGAAAGCTTGTAAGACAGCAACTTTGTGCCTTCATAGCCCTATTTTCGATAGCCAATGTCTATGTTGCCCGTCCCTATCAACCTAGTGCACTGAGGAAACAAGCTTGATCCTTGATATGAAGAGTTCTTCCATTTTGGTTGGAATTTTGAGCAGCTGCATCCATAAGCAAAGGTGCAGTTCGTCAAATTTTAGCAATTTACACTTGCTCCTGTATCACACTTCTTTGTCTTCATCTGGTCATGTTCTGGTCAGCTAGCCATCCAAGGTAAGTCAAATGGGTACTGCCTGCAAATTTGGGAGTTCTTGCACACCTCCCCACACTTGAGACATCTGGCCACTTCACTCTTAGCTCTAGCCCCAGTGTCGAGGTCAGTGTCCATAAGCTTGGAAGTTTACACATCTCCCTGAACTTCACACTAGCCAGCCCTTCCTCTTCTTTTTCTTATCTTAAGGTCAGTGGGTGTCAGTGGAACATGGCCAGACTCAATCTATGTCTTCATTGCTGCATTTTCCCCATTTCCACTCATAAGTAGTATAGGGCAGTCACCAGTGAGCATACTAGACTGCTCATTGTTTTCCTTTGAGTTTCAGTCTTAGAAGGAAGTTTTCCCTGATGGGCTGACTTTTCTTGCCTTGGTGGCTCCAAGGAAAACAGCTTGCTTGATATTCTAACAGCCAAATAGTCTGCTTTTTTTTCTGCTGGTCTCTTTTTGAAAAAGTATCTTCTGTTTTTCCAGCTGTTTGGGTTGGTCTGTATATCATTTCAAATGGTAATGTCCCACCTCAGAAGGCTCTGGGTAGGGCTCAGGATTCCACATAAGGCTCAATAGTTCACAAAATTTTAACATGAAGCCTATTTCCTTGGGCAAATTTTACTTTCCCTTTTAGTTAAGCCAGTCAGTTATAGGCTGAAGATGGGCTTGCAAGCTTTTAGACAGGGAAAACCAATATTCTCAAGACAGTCAAGCCTCTAAACATTTTTACCTTTATTCAGACTATGTCTTGATCCTTGTATCACAGAGCACTATCGTTCCAAGGTTGTGTATACATCACTGTTTTCCTCTATCTCATTTAGCACATGCAGACCTCCCTAAGTCTTCCCCTATCTTCATTGTTCATCTACCACCCTGCCCCTTCTTCTGTATTGCCTTCCCCCTCCTTGTATATTGTGCTCTCCATCACCTGAGCTATCATGTGTTACCCTGTGCCTTATTGTCTCCTCCCTCATTCCCTGGTAACCATCAAGTAATCTTTCTATTAGTATGGAAATCTTTTCTTAAGCTTTTACAATAATGGTCTCATGCAGTATTTGTCCTTTTGTGATTAAGTAATTTCACTCAGCATAATGTCCTCAAGGTTCATTCATGTTATGAAGTGATTTTTAGCTTCACTGTCACTCTTCAAGGTAGTATAGTATTCCATTGTGTGTATGTACCACAGTTTGTTTATCCATTCTTCTTTGACAGACACTTAGGCTGTCTTTCTTTTTGTTATTGTGAATAGTGCTACAGTGAACATTGGTATGCATATATCTACTTTTGTTCTGGCTCATATTATTGTGGATATATACCAAGGAGAGGAATGGCTGGATCATAAGGTGTTTCTATTTCCAACTTTCTGAGGATGCGCCATACTGTTTTCCAGAATGGTTGAACCATTTTCAGTCCCACCAGCAATGTAGTAGGGATGATCCCATTCGCTCCACATTTTCGCCTGCATTTGTTGTTTGCCACATCCGATAACGGCTATTCCCCGAGACCTGCGCAGAGAGATTAAACCCGAGTAGAGACGACGGGAGATTAGAAAAAAAGGAAGACACAAGAAACAAAAGAATTAAGTAAAGTTGAAATCAGGTGGGACACAGCACTCTGATGGACATACTGTGCACAACTCAGACCTAGTGCCACAAATTTATTTTATACACATATCAAAAGAAAGTGCTAGGGGCAGGGAAAAGAGTGCAAAAACATCTGGTGTTATTGATGTATACAGTAAGTGGGACCTTATCAGAAGAATGTAACTTGTAGTTGCTAGGGAAACAGAGATAGCACAGCTAGATGTTTGTGCAGACTTGAACTGAAGGTCATACAAGGAAAAAACCTTGCAAGTTCCCTGTCCCCTGAGGCAGGCTTTACAAGTTCCTCAGGGGGCAGCCTGACCTGGGAGCAGCTCGAATTTCTTGATGACAACTGTGTTCAGTTGCAGTCTTTTGGTTAAACTACCCCCAAGTCTAAGACCTTCAGCTCAAATCGCTCCCAATAGTTGTTTTCTGTTTTGTTTTGTTCTTTAAATTTTGCTGTTAATGCTGGTGGGAGATGATATCTCATTGTTTTTATCATATTCGTTGTCTGCCTGAATGTCTTCATATACTATGCCCATTTTTTTATTTCATTATTGTGTCTTTTTCTTGAAGTGGTGTTGTAATTCCATATAAATTTTAGCGATTAGTCCCTTGGCTGATATGTTGTTACAAAAATTTTCTTTCCAGTCTGTGGGCTCCCTCTTTACTGTTTTGGTAAAATATTTTGAATCATGTAAGTTTCTAATTTTTAATATGTACCAGTTGTCTATTTTGTCTTCTATTGTGTCTATGTTTTTGCAATGCTTGATAGTCCATGTATGGTATTTATAAGAGCCCTTAAGCTTGTCCCTGTTTTTTCACTGATGGTCTTTACAGTTCTGGGATTTACATTTAGGTCTTTAATTCATGTTGAGTTAGTTTTTGTGTATGATGTAAGGTATGGGTCTTGTTTAAATTTTTGCAAATTGATTTCCAGTTTTGCTAGCACTATTTGTTGAAGAGGCTGTCTCTTCTCTCTTTAATGTATTTGGCTCTTTGTCAAATCAGTTGACTATATGTGGATGGATTTACTTCTGGGTTCTCAATTCTGTTCCATTGATCTATGTATCTTTCATTGTACCAGTACTGGGCTGTTTTGACCACTGTGGCTGTGTAATAAAATTTGAAATAAGGGAATGAGAGGCCTCCAACTGTATTGTGCTTCTTAAGCAATGCTTTGCTTATTACAAGGTTTCTTTCCATTCCGTATAAGGTTTTTGATGTTTTTTTCCATCTCTTTAAAGAATGTTGTTGGAATCTGGATTGCGATTGTGCTGTATCTGTAGAATGCTTTGGGGAGTATTGACATTTTCACAGTGTTAAGTCTTCCTATCCATGAGCGTGGTATATTCTTCCATTTTTGTAAATCTCTTCTGGTTTCTTGTTACTACAAGAAATCTACAGTGTTTTGTAGATTTCTTTGTATAGGTCTTTTGTTTTTATAGTTAGATTTCTTCCTAAGTATTTTATCCTTTGGGTGGCTATTGTAAATAGTATTGCCTTCAAAACTGTCTTTATTAGTATAGAGAAATCCAATTGATTTTTGTATATTGATCTCGTATTCTTCCACTTTACTGAATCTTTCCATGAGTTCTAATGATTTTCTTGCTGAGTCTTTGGGATTTTCTATGTATAGGATCATAGCATCTACAAATAGAGAGCATTTTACTTTTTCTTTGCAATTGGCTGCTTAATTTCCCTTTCTTGCTTATAGTTCTATCTAATACTTGCGGCACAATAATGAATATGAGGGGTGATAAAAGGCATCCTTGTGTAGCTCCTGTTTGCAAAGGAAAGGCTTTCAGTTCCTCTCTGATGAGAGTAATGATGGTTGTTGGTTTTGTATATATATTCTTAATTTTTTTGCAGAATTTCCCTTCAGTTCCTACTTTGTTGAGTATTTTTATCAAGAATAGGTGTTGGATTTTGATACAAATGGATTTTTAATTTAGGCCTGAAGTCAAACATTTTTAGTTGCACTTGCATTTCAAATTTTAAATTTACACAAAATATATATAGGGACATAAATAAATGCATGGTTTCATCTTGTGCATTGCTTTCTTAATTAAATTGTATGCTTATATT